TCGGTTATCATTGAGCGGTAGCGATTCCCATTCACAGTAACGTGCCGGTATTGATCATGATAGAAGCAGTACAGCCCAATGACCACACCAAATGTAATTTTTTYGGGATGCAATGKTAACTCATGGAGTACGTGTGAAATGCTGTCTGATGAATAAAKCCAGAAGTGTGGCCYCATCGCTGAAAATGATTTTTCTATGGAAATCCGGATCGATTCGCGAACATACGACGATTCTGGTGGTAAAGCGGCTTCAGTTGTCGTGTCAATTTCATCTTGTAACGATGTATTCCGAGATCTTTTGGCAAAGAGATGCCCAACGCTTGAGAAAGACAGTGTGAGAGACTGAATTAGGTCTGTCTCTCTTTATTAATTCGCTAGCGGCATATTCTCGATCCTACGGCCACTTCTTTATCTCACTGACACCGGAGTCATWAATTGAAGGTAGMGCTCTWAAATTTTAGGCCACTGYCACTGAATTTCRACTCGTTGTTGGATCGCATTTCTTTCTACCATGAAATGGCAAACCTTRATGAAAAGAAATGTGAAAAGAGGGGAAACGAATATGGCGTCATTTGCTGTCTCTATTGGTATACATTTGTAGCGTCTSTATTGAAAAACCGAAATCAAATTATTCATATTTTATCAATTTCTAAWTAAAAATCAAAATCCCATCATAATGGATTGAAAATCAGATGAACTTTAATCCCAAATTTCTAAATTAATTCGCAACACTGAAGAGCATACAAGCTAACCTGACTACAAGTTTTGTACCGTTTAACAAYGAATGAGTGATTTAGATATACATACATATCTACACATAATTTTTTGAGTAGTGCTTTCAGATCTTACCAGTTACTAGTTCTTCTATCATTCGGAATAAGTCAGAGATTGTAAAAATTGGTTCAGACGTCCGTGAGTTTTAAATAGAGAAAATAATCCAGCTTCGTTTTATTCATAGAAAGGTGACACCGGAGCACTCTTCTGGAACTAGCTGATAACCATTCGACTACTGAAATATCAGTGACTTTGCCAGCTCTAATTCGTTCGCAGCAGTTAAAACGATTTGTGCAAATTTCTCCACAATCTTATCAAGTGGACCAAATCGTGTGCAGATAAGCATTTTATGAATGAATAACTCGCTACAGATGCAATGGGAACATCAAGCGAGCATTTTCAGCGATAAATAACGCCACAAAGCGGCACCCGCCGTCAACCGCCGTCAGCCGCACCAGCCAACCATCTTGCGGCGCAAAAATGTCAAAAAAATCACGTACCCACCGACAATATCGCCGCCAAGCACCGCGGCGATAAAGCASCAACGCGACAACGGCAAAGCAAACCGAAATGCGAAATGGCGCATTTGTGCGCAACAGACAAGAAAATATGGAATCAACACAATTATCGCCACAACACCTGACCCAGCAAAATACATAAGTAGCATTTACGATGCGGTTGGCGCTATGCATGCACACGGCGACGCAATTGCATGCCAGCGAGTAGCGTAAGCGCTGGAGAGCAGCACGAGTTTGGAAAATTAATGGCCGCTGGCTGTGCGCGAGCACCTTCTGCAGAAACGCGAGACCGAAAAGAATTGCACGCACCCGCCATAGCAGCTGSTTTGTGACTTTCGGGTCGCTGGAGGGGTGCGACGCGCCGCAATCTCAGCACGTGAAAATTTGATATGAAATGTTCAAGCGACAGTTGGGAACGTGCGATACAGCTGGCTACCTCATTGTGGCTGCGGAGTGCATATAAAACCATTACGGTCGCAGCATCTAACGATTAGTCAAGGCGAAACCTAAAGCCATTGCAGCACAGACGTGCAACGCCAAACCAGTGAATTCTAACCACTGCCATACGCGGTTTTATATTTGTCGCCACACGCTCGATACTGTTACAACACATAACACAGTTACAGCACTGCTTTAGCGCTCCAACATAATACCCAGAGGAGACAATGCTGGCATCGCATGGCTTCCTGCACGTGCCCCCMGGCCAACGCGTCGCCTACACCACCATTCACTTTTGGCTACTGCTCATCCAACTGATGAGTGCGGCCACGGTCAGCRRCAGCAGCAGAGCCTCAGCATCCAGTGAGCGGCCGCCGCTTCAAGCGCCACCTCCACCGCCACAGTTGATGGATCCAGCGTTGACAAACTGTGGCGACGAAGACAACCCTAGATGGCGGCCCGTCTGTGCCACGACAAACGGTGTGGACTATGTGCTCTTTGGCAGCGAATGTTTGCTGAGGCAAGCCAACCGAGAGCGCCACCACTTGGACGCAGGGGATGCGAGGCCCGGTGAGTTCCACCCACCTGTGCACCACGCACTTTATGTGCCACTGTGTCGCGCGATTAATGTACTAGTTTCCGAAATTGCTTGCATTGTTGTCACTTCTCTAAATTTTTTTCTCGTTTTCTCTCTTTTCGTTCTGTCTAAATATTTCAATTTTTGTTGTACTTTTAATTTTTAATATTTTATGTGAAAAGTTTTTAGGGAAATTGCGTTGGGATTCTGCCGGCCGAGTTGTGGCCTTATAATTTGTGAAGGCAACGAGCAGGCGATTTGTGCCCGAAATGTAAACAGTGGTGAAGTTCGGCGCTTTAGTGGACTCTGTGACATGGCGCGCGATGTATGCGTCAACGACAATGGTGAGCTCTTATTTGTCTTTAAAAGTTTAACTTGGCAATTGTGCAGCATAACTGTACAACCTCTATCTATATTATATACAAGTGGTTACAAAGTCCATGCACGGAGCGCGGACGCAGGTCCTTATATGACTAGTATGCTTTCTCTCATAGACTTAGTACCGCTTATTCTGTTTTGTTAGGCATAAAGCGCTTAAAGTAAATCAGCGCAGGTGTGTCCTGTATTACTTATAGATTCGACTAACGATACAAAAACCGCGTCGGGGTAAACGCTAAATAGGTTATAATTTTTCACAGTCGTAATCAAACCGATCCATATCTTATGGTACTTGTACAAATCTGAAGAATCTATTTGATTTTGACTCCATTTGTATAAACTCGAGAAATTTCGAAATGTTCTAAATATTTCAGATTGGCAACTGACCACCGATGATGCTTGTGTCAAACTGTTGAAAAGTCCAAACCCTACATTTCCAGTTCCAACCACCGAAGCTACTACGCTTAAAGCATCTAAAGGAAAGCTCTTTTCAAAAATGGAAAAAGTAAAACACGGACAAGGTGTTAGAAAAGGGAACATGGGCAAGTCCATACCATGCCCCAAGGTATTTAACCCGGTCTGCGCTGAACTCTTTGGCGTCAAGGCGACATTTATCAACGAATGTCTTGTGAATGCAGAGAACGTAAGATTTAACAAAGGTATGAAGAAGTCACACATACACACACACAAAATAAATACTAAGTATACCGACCTAGTGTTTCTGAAGACTAAAATCCATTAATCCTATTCACAGAATGGAAAATTTTCTCGGAGGGCGTGTGCGCGGAAGACTACGCGACCTCCGAAACACACATTAGCAAGCGCAGCACGGTGGACAGTGCGACTGTTACATTCCAGCTGAACGCACCAGAGCAGCAATCGAACAGCGATGTCATATGGGCACCAAACATCGAAAACACCAACTACATGAATGAGGATGTTTTCAGGTCCCATGGAGGGCAAATGAGAAGCATGCTGCAGTACAACCAGCCATTTGGGGCGCGACATAGCGAACAGTCGTCCTTGGACGCAACTCCTCATACTATACGCATCCTGCCAGTGGTGAACGATCGTGTGCCGGTCTGTAAATTTGGCGCTGGTCCAGTTTGTGGGAGTTCATCGCAGAACTCGATGCATAAATTTGAAAATATCTGCGAGCTTTTGCTGAGGAATATCATTTTAAATGAATGTGAGTATTGCCAAGTAAGGACGGAAACTGCGGGGGAAACTGGGAAATATATTTAATCTGAAGATTTTTACGAGTATAATTAAAATTGCGGTCTTTAAGGGTGTGTGTTGAGATGCCTCAGTATTCAACTGAGACACCTGAGCCTAACTGCGATCCTTGCAATTGTGATATTTCCTCAGTGAAGCATTTTGTTTCTTCCTACAGCTCAACTCAAAAATAACAGAACTAATTTAACGAGTTTCTTTTTAATATTCATTCAACAGCTTGGGTTGTGGTTAACGAGGGCAAATGCCGAAGATGTGTCTTGAATTGTACGACAGACTATGATCCCATATGTATCTCACGGAATGGTGTTAATTACACCATACTTAACCAATGCCATCTGGATCACGCTATTTGTCGAAATAATTTGAACAGTGAGTACTATGTTGTAAACAATAAAAAATAACGAAATCAAGTTTATCGAGTCAATAGGTTAATTGAGTCAGAGGGTTATTTTATTTAAATTTGTCTTTTCATTCACTGAGCCTTCACTTGATACTAAACTGAACAGGGTGGTCTTTAAGCTCATCAATTTTTATGTACTACCATTTTGCAAAAATATATGCATAGATTTACATAAGTATACAAATATCTAAGTACGGGTTTTATCATTTTGTAGCGTGGAAGATACTAGGCAAAGGAGAGTGCAAAAATGTCTTGAAAAATATTACTTCGAGCCCGGATGATTACATCAAAATAACCGCAGTGAATCAAAATGAAGAATATTTTCCGAGGCATACACGGAGAATTCTCGAATTCTTTACAGTAAAAGCAGCGGATAGTCAGAAAAACGAAAGCCTACCCGTGGTTCCTGACCAAAAGTCTTCACTAGAGGTTTTCTCTGTGGAATCCCAAAGCTCCAGCTCCAGCGAACTTTTACTTCCCAACACTACATCACAGCCCAGCGAAAACAGAACACATAAAACTCATATAATGAATTTATGGCGGAGCTCGAAGAGAAAATCGCCCTCCTCTAGAAGAAAGAGAAATTAACAATAATTTTAAGTGCAGAATATCAAACTAATTATATAATTAAAATTTAGTAACCAAATAGTTTAATGTTTATAAGTTTTGTATTTTTTTAGAATCATAAATAAAATGTTTTGAAATTTAAATTATATGAAACGTTTTCAATTGCATTCGCGTTACAATTCGCTCCGTTACGTTTGGTGTTATTTGTTCCACATCACAGGTGGCGCCCTGCATGTTTTACATTTCTTGCACCCTAAATTCGTAAATATTTACGAAATTCTAATACAGAAATAATTGAACAAAAATCGTTTTGCTTGCGTGTTGATATGGACATTATCCGATTGATCCGACACGAATGTAGGCCGTGGGAAAAGTGAGTAACCGCTAGAGCGTGATCGAACAAATATGAGGTAGTGCTAAAAATACGGTGCATAAATACACAACGGCGCGTTTATGTTTGTGTGTAAGGTTGTCGCTATTATATAATCACTAGAAAAAAAAAGCCTAATGTCGCAAACCTTGCCTGCCACGCCACCGCCACCAGCTCTATATCCGTCGAACATTGCCAAGAAATATCTACCGCCGCCCAAACAACAAGAATTGCCAACATGTATCTGGGCACTGGAATATCCCGAGTTACAAAAAGCGTGCTTTCTGGCACGGGTATGTGAGGACAGTGCTCCGCAACATTGTCAGCTCCACAAAGTGACCACTATTCTACAAGAAGGGCCCACCTGTGGTCTAACTGCGTTGAGCATGCTTTTGAATGGCGCCCCAAACCCTAGCGAACTTTTGCAGATTGCTAGAAAGCTTCACTATACAAACAATGGCGAAATGTTTAGTGCACAAAATTTGTTTCAACTTATTCGTGATACTCTAAAATCTTCAAATACTTCTACAGCCGAAGTGATAACAACAACAAAAGCCACAACAAATAATACATCGGCCAATGAACGCCAAACGAGGGCGGTAGCGCATTGCGAGTTACACCAAGGCCCACTTGACTGTGTCAAGGTCAGATCAGCATTACAGGCGGGTGCTTGCATTTTTGTACCGTATCCTTTACGTAAGAGTCTTAAAATATACACATTCTAAATGTGGAACACGTTCGGGTATAAAAAATTTGGTACGAATTACTGACTTTTTTCAAACAAAACAATAACATTTAACATACTGATCGTTCAAATATATATTATCCGTAGTTGATACCGACCAGTTTTCGCTAAATAAATTTATCCGTTACATTTGAGCGATCAGCTTTTATCAAACAGCTGATTTGTGACAGCTTCTCACAATTCCATTGACAATCCAAAAGGTTAATTTGACGGATAGATAAATTTATATATAATTTATTCTTGATTTGACATTTGCGCGTTTATTAAGTTGCTTTATTTGGTGTGCTTACATTTTATTTAGTTTGAATTTAATCTATAATACTTTAATTCTTAAAACGTAACTTTTATAAAATGGCAACCGAAGAGGAGCAAGTAAGTCATTAAAGTTTATTTCATTTCACATTCCACTTACCTTCTTGATTCACCCATCAGATTCAGGTGTTGCCGGTCAAGGAGCCGCTCGACTTGATTAGACTGAGCTTGGATGAAAAAGTGTACGTAAAGATGCGAAATGAACGTGAACTACGAGGACGTCTTCATGTAAGTATAAGTAAAAATCATAATAAGAAGTATAAATATTCCAAAAATGTCACCATGAGCTAAGTACCGCAACCGTTTGCGGGAAATTTGGAATCAAGCGTCAAAATTCACCAAGTACACAAGAGAAGAAATATTTACAATTAAAAAAATTAAATGTAAAGGCTTCGTTTAGGCAAATTATTGAATGAATTGAAAAAAGCTAAATGTTTGCATTTATATTTCAATATAAATATGTTATATTCTGCAGGCGTTTGATCAACATTTGAACATGGTGTTAGGCGATGCCGAAGAAACAGTAACTACTGTAGAAATCGATGAAGAAACTTATGAAGAAGTATATAAAACCACAAAACGAACAATTCCAATGCTTTTTGTGCGAGGAGACGGCGTAATATTGGTATCACCACCCATGAGAGTAGGCTAAAGCAAATGTTTAAAACTTAGAATGTAATCATATAATTAAATAAAGAAAAAATGTGCTTAACTGTCAACAATTACAAATGGATTTTGTTCATTATTGTTCTATATTGACAAAAAATCAACAAAATAATGTTTTCCTTAACACACCGTAATTTGCTTTCACAAATATATGTATATAGATACGATCCTGACTACAACCATTCACCTTGCCTAAAATATGGTCATAAAGCTCATTGGGCACTCATCATCGGCTACTTGATAAACGATAAAAATGAGGTTTGTGTAACATAAATTGTTAATACACATATTTGCGACCACATATGAATTGTATATATTTTTGAAAATTTCAGTTCTTTGTCTTAGCGCGTCACGGAAAAGCGAAAAATCTGGCTGTGTGGTCAATGAGCGCTCTAAGCGACAGTAATGCCAACCTTGTAGAGTTCGAACAACCGAAAGGTTATCCCAATTGTGATTTTCTGCTACCGCCCGGTGGTATTGGCGGTGATTTAGGTTTAAGAGAACGTGCCATTATTGTAAACATGCTGCCGCAAGAAAATTTATTTATTTGTTCGAGAAAAGGAAGGGGTCCCAAACCTTAGCCATTAATTCGATTATACACTGGAATATTTAGATTAAATTTGCCATGGTATTTTCAAAAAACAAAATGTAACCAAGCTGAAAAAATATAAACCAAATGCAAACTTGTTGCAGTAATAAAACACGGATTTTATTTGGAACTCTTAAATATTGATATATATATATATATGTATTTATTTAGTTTTGTTTATTATTATTATTATTTTTTCTTTGTTTTTGTCAATAAACACACTTAGTAACTATTAAAGTTTTACAGCTTTTCAACTTTATTACATTTTATAACTTTACGCATTTCCAAAAAAGGCTTATTAGCACTTCACTACGTATAAGAATAAAAACATTCAGTTAAATATTGCATATATGTATGTACTTATGCTATGTATATGTAGTTTATTTTGCTACAATTAATTCCCACGAAATTCAGTCAATCACAATATTATAACTTTCGCCTAAAGTATATGTACGCATTTTTAATAAAACGAACTTTTTAAGCATTTCTTGGTACACGCACATATTTATTTAGCGACAAAAGTAAATTATACTTATTTGGGAAGATAAATCATAAAATCAATAAAAATTATTTTCAATAATATCAATAAAAAATTATTTAGAAATAAATTTATGTTATCAACACACTATTCTCAGCATTTCGCCGTTACAGTTACCCGCATAACAATATTTGTTTGCACAGAGACGATATGTAATTTATTGTTTATTCAAATGAGAACTTAAACCTATAGATAAGACAGCTGAGAGCAAATAATATTAATATTTTCATACACATGCATTTATAAGGAATCTGCGATTAAACCTGATATAAGCCACTTCGACTTGTAAAATTGTTAACTGAATTTTAGGGGAAGTATTTTCAAGTTTAAAATACTAACAGCAATTTGACCCTGTTACATTCGTTGTGGTCAGAATGGGAACCGAGGTCCAGTGTTTAACCACTTAAAATAAAAGGGTAATCCGACGTTAATACTATGTATGGCTCTGTAACCCCTTTCATATACAGATGCGAAGCAATACGATCTCACTGACTACTTAATATATTGGAGTTTTCAGTTAACAATGGACTCCCATTTGTGGCATAAATACGTGCATTAATTTAGCATATGTCGCTTAGAATGTCATGGTTGACGTCTTGAGGCTTTTATTTTTATTTCTTCTCTATTGGTGCTGCAACACATATTTGATCACTTGCCAATTCAGAATCACCTGCCCCACGCGCTGGCGTTGCACAATTTGATGAATGCGCGATTTCATACAAACCCAAACAAACAAAAACAAAACCAAAATTAAATGTATTGTATTTAAGCGAAATCAAAATTAAGCACTGAACACATTGAAATTATATTTGTATGTACTATTTCAAGTCTTATCTTTTGTTTATTCATTATTTCATTGCTATATTAAAAATGCTTATAGACTAACTTTTATGTTGTTTTATTTGAATTCCTCTTTTCACTCTGTAAATCATCACTTTCTCATATATTGCATATTTCTTACTCGCACCTTTCTTTCTCACTGACGAAACGCTTACGATTTCGTGTCTTCTAATTTAAATGTTTAACGTGTTAAATAAGTGATATTTATTAATGTTTTACAGTTTAAGGTTTATATATATATATATGTATATATTAGGTATATATAGTATAGTATGTATATATTTTAATTTTTAAACATATATGCACATTTTTATGCATGCACTCTAATAAACATTCACAGAACTTATGGAACGAGAGCAACTGCCATATATGGGCATACGTACATGCATGGAGTACATATGTACGAACATATGTATATAGTAATTTAAATATTTTGTATATGAAGACAGATTAATTAAATACCTAATAAATTTGCAACCACAAGTTCAAGGTCCAACCGCATTAGTTTGGAGCACAACAAACAAATTACGATGCGCACCAACAGCACTGTTTGCAGTATTTGGAACAAATAATGCTATGGATAAACATTTCACTAAATATACTTACTATATATTACATATCGCACTTGAGATAACTACATAGACATCTCTACAAACATTGATGTTCTTACATTACAATTTTTTTACTTTAGATCACAACAATTAGAGTTTCTTTACAATTTATTAGAGTCCTTTCAATTAAGGAATTCACATTCATGCATGCCAATTCTTTATTGGTGTTCCTTAGTCTACAGCCAGTCAATCGAGTTATTTAAACTTCGAGTGTGGCGTGTGATAATTTATTTTTGTTTTTGCAAACTCAAATTGATTAAAAAACTAAATTAACGAGTGAGTTTAGTTTCTGCAGTCTCTTAATCTGACGATATTAAAAAAATATATAAAAATAAATTCGAAAAAAACAGGATAAAATGTATATTAGCTGTCTGGGCTATTTTTAAGGAAGAACGCTTATATTAGACACAGTTAATAGAATGGGGATGTTAATTTGTGATGTGTATTTTTAAAATTTTAACAAAAATAGAGAAATTTATATTTCTAAGCATTGAACTCGTGTCAGTTTCTAAACGATGATTTTGAATGAGAGCTCGGCTCAGACACGCTTGATGCCGAATTAAGAAGTGTAAAATTGAAATTTAAGAAAAAACTAATTTATATAAAAAGAGTAACATAACAGGAGTTTAAATAACTTCTGAATTGTTTGTTGAGTCGTTTCATAATTTTCTTTCGCATTACACACTGTGAGTTCAAAAGGTCCGGCTTTCTATGTAGAATTGTCAACGGTTATGAAATTTATGCTATCTCGATTCATAACATGTTCGATTTGTATTTTGTTTATTTAATATCTAATATTTAATAAGGAATATTCGGATACAGGTGTTTTATTGATGGAAATTCGTTGGAGTTCAGTCACCGYAGCGCACTGAACACGGTGGCATTTTAATGTTAATTTACGTTTCACTTATGAGTTTAAACTGTACTTCAATAATTCTGATAAATTGTATATGTACTGTATTTGTATTTAACATTTAGTATTACAATATGGCTGGCGGTAGTAGGAAGCTATAAATTGTATGCCTTACTTGTATCTCGAGCTCAAGTTTCATATTGCACTTAACACATTGTCGGCATTAGCTACCATTGTTCTATTGTGTTTGTGTATTTTATGTCGAACTACTTCTACGGTTAGCAAGCATGATTTAGTTTCGCAATTCACTTAGTTTCCTTTAAGTTGTAGATCGGTACATACGAGTTATATAAGTAAGCGCATTTAATATTAAATATTATTCTGTTTATTTTTACAATCAGCGCAAAACTTAAATTGGCATTAAAACACAATAAAAAAATAAAATATATATGTATATGTTTCTTAACGCGTTTACATGGATTAAAAATTAAAAATATATAAGCAAGTGTATCTTTATATAGCAGTATGGACAAGCAAAAGGGTTGGGGCAACCATATTGATGCCACAAATTGTTGTTAAAGGTATTGTATAAGTTATTGGACTTAATTAAACAAAAGATGCGGGGTTGCCTTCGAATTTCGTAACTGTCTTTTAGAAAAATTATATTTTGTCCCGAAAGCACAAGGCTCTGCACAATAGAGACTTTAAACGCAAATGCGAAGGCCTTTTGAATGTGGATGTGTGTTGGATGTGTGTGTARGTCTATTTCCAAACATATATAATACAATATTTTTAAGTTATTGAACTAAGTAGCAGTGGTACTACGTACAATATGATAACCAACATACATATTACATGTTTGTATGCATATTTATCTGCTATTATATAAGTARAATTATTACATTGATTATTAAATATTTTTTTTTTAGATTTTATCGGTTTAAATATTGTTTTTAAAATGACTAGGATATCTCAGAACAAGACATTGGCGTACAACCAATGAGAGCAATTGGAAAATTCTTTACGTGTGTTTGCCATTGCGAAGACAACTGGAAGAATTTCACACCAGTCCATTCTGTGCCGTCGATGAAAACTGCAAATACATCAATTACATATTCATTATTCATTCATTCATTTATTTATTTGACTATTTATTCAAGCAAATACCAGGCCTCAAAGAATTTAACCAGTTTATACTTGCAAATACCAAATTTATTAAAATGAGGCCGCACACGAACTAAAACTCGAATTTACATTTACAGCTATTTAATGTTATTACTCACCTCTTAACGGTACTGGGTGCGACGGTTTTGGGGAGCAAATCAAACGCGCAACACCTTCGACGCACTGCTCCTTTTCGAGATCACGGTCCTTTTCYTTTTTCTTGCCTAGACGCATAACTAGAAATACAACGAAATTAGTAACAAGCAAAAGAGAGCGCACCTCCTGGTCACTTACTTTGTTTTTGTTTCTTTTCTTTGGTCGCGAAATTCACTGTCATCCCGTGGGACATTTCGCCTAATTGGGCGTTCTGAGGTAGCCGCCAAACCTGWAGATTTCTAAATGTACTTTTAATGCTACTCTTGCCACCCTGGTCGCCGCCACGCGTGATACTTTTTTCCTTTGGCATGTAGTCTCCCGGTCGAATAATGGGCCAATAATCCACTTGCAGCTCCACCGATTCAGAAACGGCATTCGACTGCGCTGAGGGTGTGTTAATCGAATCACCTCCACGATCACGGAGCGCATTCGCCGACGTGGGTGGCGTTTGCTGAGGCGGTGAGATCCTGCCGCTCTGGGGTGGCGAACCAGATGGTGCAYTGTTGCCTCCAGCCCCGCCACCGGCGCCAGTTAAATTCGTGGCATTACTGTTGCCAATGGGTATGGCGCTGGTCATATGCAGCGACTGCTGTGCGCCAGTATTGCCGCCAGCTTGCGTGGCATTCTCTTCAAGATCAAGTGAGACTTGTGGACCTTCCAAGTAACCAATGCGCACATCCTATACATGTTAAAAGTTTGRCAATTAACAAGAGTTGCATATAAATAAGTTCGCTGATACTCACACTAACGAATGGCACGAATATTTGACGTGAATCCTCGTCCTTGTAATTGACCATAGCCTCACCAATGGGAATTTGAGTGCACGGTCCGGCGGCATGTAGATAACGCTGTATGCGTTGCACCATCTCCACAATATCCGATTTATTCGCCGTGACCGAGTCGCCGAGCGTCGTTGACAACGCCGAGGCATTCACCGTCGTTACGGCACTAACCGCCGCCGCAGTCGCCGCTACGCGCTCGCACAATTGATACCAATTGTCCGAACCAAACATGGCACCATATGTCAAATCCACCTGGCTGAGATAACGCGCTATTGTGCTGCCGCTGCCGATCGGCACAATGTAGAACCGCAAATGATTCAGCCAATCCGGTGGACGTACACCCATCAGCTCGACGTAATGCCGTAAGGCTGCGCCTTGCAGCCAATCGCCTCCCAACAGCAATATTTTCACCGTGTTCGGTGGCTTYGCATTCGARTTGCAGCTAAAAGCAAGAGCGGACAAAATTAAAACCTACATCGAACGCACACTACCTTCCGACTTACTATTTTTGTATCTTTCCCATTAGCGCCTGCAGCACCGCCTTCACTTCCGCCGTATTTTGCGGTACAAAAGCTGGCTTGAAGGAGTTCGCCAACAGCGTTGTCAGTTTAGGTATTAATGCACTGCCACTTAGCGCTTCAGGGGGGCTGATTATTGTGACCACATCGGGAAGATTGTTGTCCTCACTGGCGAATATTCGGCTCAATTGATCGAGCAACAGTTTTCGCGGTTCCACATTTGTTGGCGACAGACATGTCTCTAATACTGAACGCGGCTCAGCTGTTAAGCTAAGCGTCTGCTTTTTCTTACCCATGCCCATGCTTATGGCACCACCGCCGCCACTGCCGCTGCCAGCGCCACTTGGTGTATTGCTCGATGTTCGGAATAGCCGCGAACGCTTCTCGCTGAAAGTGAAAGCACTGCCGCTGTTACCACCACCGCTCACTGGAGTCAACTGCTGTTGTTGTTGCAATAACTGCAAACGCATGTAGTCCTTGTCGCTACGTGGCGGACTGTTCTGTGGATCGGAGTTCTGGCCATCGGTATTGAAAGCGTTGCCCTCATTGCCAGAGCTGTCGTTCCGGTACTCCGTCGGACGATCTGAGGATAACAAAGTTAAGACATACATAGAATTTAAAATACAGGGAAATGTGTTTACATTTTTTGCATTTAATGACTAAGGAATAAAGAATTTAAGAGAATAAGAATGTAACACGAACCTCTAAAATATAACGAGGCGTCCAAATAAGGGTGGTGYCCACTTACATAATAGTTCTAGTGTGATTAATATTTAAAAAGGGGTTACATATCTATATAACTAACTTAAAAATATATATATATTTTTTTTTACAACAATGCCAAAAAAAAAAAACTTCTTTAACAACTTTTCGTTTTTAGTTTTTGCGGACAAAATTATGAAATGGGATAGAAAATACTTGCAGTATGAATTCTTCTAGGCGATAACATGCTAACCAGACTATAAAACAATAATTTCWATAATTCAGTTTTAACGTCAGGTATTTATTTCAAGGAACTACTGAAACTGCGAACCTATATAACCAGTTTTTGGACCAGACCGCGAGTACCTTGGCCCATATGGCGAATGTTCAAAAGAATGCAAAATCATATGCATTTTTAATATTGTAATAAATTAAATAATAAATTACAAAAACATTTTTTTTTTTGGGTTTGTAATAAAATGCTCTTTCATGAATGGCGTTTAGGGCATGACTAGTCGCTAGGCAATCGTGTACCGAAATTACCGTTAAGAATGTTGTGCAGCTGGTCTGTACCGACTGCTGAATTTAATTTGCTGTATTTTACCACATTCTATTCCAATTCTACCTTTTATTGTGGTCATAGCTGAGCCCTTCGAATCGTATTGGTAATATTTATCGTATTGGTTGGAACAGAAAGCTTGAATTATCTGCATTATGGGATAACAGATAAATGTTTTAAGAGCCAAATTATATATTTCAATATATTTCAATTTAGTATGTGTTCCTGCACACGGATTTATGAAATATGCACGGTTGTCAGTTCATATTGGAAATAAGAAGTCATAAAAGAGGACTTTTTAATTTTGAATTGAAATAAAAAATGGAATTAAAAGTACTTGTTGGGTTACTGTKCCCCAACAGTTATATGATAATATGTGGGATCTGGCCTCCTCACATTAAATTATTATTTAAGGAAAACTGTGATACTTATTCATAAATAACAGTTAATAAGTACGACAATAAACGTATTTACTTTAAATAAAGAAGTTAGTAACATGACAGCAAGCACTAAGTTCTACTCACAAGGAAAATAATAAATTTATAAAGTACAATAATACAATTATTTATTATGAATACAATAAAACTGACTAAGAATTACATTGCTGATAATGGAGAGCGACAAAAAAATATTTTGCATTTTCTAAACTTCCCTGGTAAATGACGAGCCAATAAGCCATTCTTTACCCTTTTTAAATTTTTGAAGCCTTCCGTCAGTAGAAGCTCAAATGTGTACATATATGTATCTTAACGTAGGAAAGACACTTCCTTAACCCTGATTCGATGCAGAACTTATTATCTAGTTTTGGTCTATCGCAGTCCATCACCAGCATAGGTATACGCGCCAAATTACTCGTACGTAGCAAATGAAACAGAATTCAACAGATAAAAGTGATAGGATTCTAACARAGGGCGAACATTCATTTAATTTCGTGTGGATTAATAATTTCGAAAGTAAATAGGTGGGATGAACGCATATTCATTAAGTGTAAAATGCTGTGTTTTTTATGTTGARTGTACAATTACAAAAATAAAATAAAACCAAAATTTAAGAACCCAAAGGATAAAATAACAATAATCAGAAAAAGAAGTAAAGCAACTAAAAGCACTTCTGCTCGAAAGCAAGCGAAAAAGGAAGAATAAAAAAGAGTTAAACGGAAGGCGTGAAAGGCGAGTTATGGTTGGGGGTACTTTAAGAAATTAAATATTTTATATTGCAAAGGAAATAAAAAAATCAAGTAGATAGATACAGAGTAATTAAAGAATTAATTAATTAATGTATTTTGTATTTAGTTTTTTTTGTTTTTTTTTTTTTGATTATGTTGATTACTGTTTTAGTTGTTTATGTTTTTTGGTAGAGAGAATTTACACAGACCTGGTGTTGTTGCCGAATTATTGTTATTGTTTGTTAAATGAATGCATTTTTGTCTAGTATTATCATAATTGAATGACGAATTGGTCAATTGGTCGCTTTTATCCGATGATCTGCGTTCAAAGTTGCCTGCAAAAGAAATCGTTCAAGCCATGCAATTTCAATCGATCGAAACAAATACATAAGTAAATAAGTCAATTAATAATCATTGTCAATTACGCCAAATATCAATGTACATAATCTATGTTTCAATGTATACTATAAGTATAAATTATGAATACTTAAGAAGTAATGCTCATCAAAGTTAGCTGGATAAATGTTCTAATGTGTGTATGAGTTTATACTAATATTAATGCATAATGATGAATATATGATAGGATGCTGCAAACCACGATACCACGATACCACGATACTAACTAATCGATTCTCATTACTGTTAGACTAGTAGTTTATAGCTCAAATGTTAAAACAAAAATTAATAAATTAATGTTAAATTATGTAATTTATTCTATCTTAATAACAGACATCACAGGAGTTAGAAGTCGTTATTATTACTTCACTATAATCAAAATATTTGTATATATACAAAATTACCGTTAGACACATTAGTCTCTAGTTAGCAAAATGCAACAAGTCAGAATAATGAAAAGATACGAAAAAAATTGAATTAAAATAAAGAATTATGAATGAAATGTGCTACATACTCATAAAACGGAAATATAGCACTGTTAAACTATTTTATTTCGTCACCTAAAATGCAAAACCACATAACATGACTCTTTAAAAAGTTACAGAATCGGAAACCCCAATATAAAAGAGAGTTTTGGTTAATTCTATATATACAATTGTGYGTGTGTAATATGATGTAGTGAATCGTAAACCACAAAACCYTCTTTTTCAAATTCTTTGACAAAGCGTTGWTTTGCGTTTTAGGTGACGATTTATGGGTGCAGCTGCTCATTTTAGCACTAATTTGTCGGCGTGTTAGATAAAATTAGCGGCAAAGTTAAAAATTATT